TTGAGGCCGGCTAGATCAGTCATGATCGCAGCCGTAACCAGTACAAGTAAGTGCTCTTCTCCCTCTGGAACAGATTAAAGTCTAGCGAGAACGTATTCGGTGGACATGCAACTATCTAATCGGCGAAGATCACGTACCATAAGGTGACCCTTATTTTACCGTTTGTGTGACTATCTTTGACTTAGTCAGCAAGGAAATATGGCAAAAGAAGGGCGGTAGCTTTGTTTTTAGATTCCAGTAAACTTAAAATTTATTTTGACTGGAGTGAATGTTTTTTTTAGTTCCCATAATTTTCCTGGCAGTATTTTTATTTCACTTACCTCTTGCACCAAAGACGACGAAAATAAGCATAGGCTTTACAAATTATCGGCACTTCAGTGTGAACTGTGATATCCTACATCAAAACGTAGACAGCATATAGAGATATTCGAGCCATAGGAGAAGTAATAAAGGTTATAGATTAATTGAGGTCAAAAACACGACGGCAATAAACAACACTATGAAGAGCATGGGGTGATTTACAGGCATATAAGTGTCGGTGTTTTAAAAGCATAAAATATGAAAAAGGCTGTTCATAAAATCAGAAAATGCTTGGAGGAGCAAGACATCGGTTTTCATGTTTTTCTCAATCCGCCTTCAGGTTCCTAATCGATACGCACGCAAACTGTGCGACAACACAGATATTTTGTTTTGTCCGAAAGCGTTCGAAGTTGCACAATGGAAAATCACAGATGAAAACTGACGAAAATTTTTTTATATTCAATATACTTATCAGGAACTTAAAGTTTAACCGTGTTTACGATTTGAGTGGCCTGACGACAAAACTTTTTCGATTATATGAGTTCCTAAACTTTCTATAGTTGGTTCGAAACTCGCTATGCATTACAGACTGCTCAAAATTTATTTTGGATTTACCGGTTTTTTTTCTGGTCAAGATACGGTCCGAATCGGTCCAAGCAGTCCGGAAATGGGTTTGTATGTGGGAATGTCACCGGAAAATCTAGTTAGCTCGGCCCACTCACGCGCTGAAGGCGGAAAACGGAGGGTTCAAGAAACATCTCGCGGAATAAATGTTGAGCCTACCACCTCTGTGGCACCCGTCATGGGGCGGTAACCGAGTTAGGCCAACAGCACGCCGCCTGCAGTCAGGACATAAACACTTAGCCTATACCTACTCGACAGTCCTCGCGATGTTGCTGAAGCGCAAGCGGCTACTTCAGACGGAAAGAAGTCGCGAAGTTTCAACCGAAGGATCGATCGCAAACAAAAGTAGCTAAAAACCTCCAGTATGTGGCGGTCTTCATTACAATGCTAAAGAGATCACGGAACCGACCAGAGCAATACCAGATTGAGGTAACACGTAGCCCCGATATGAATGGCAAAATTGTGCTTACTCTTCCGGGTGAACGGCAAACTGGTCCTAAGACTCTTCCAACAGTCAATTGCTTCAGATTGGCAGCCATCGAGTACAGGCACGCTTTGTGCTAGTCATTGAAGTATTTCTATCAAATAGTCTTTTATTCGGCTCCGATGAAAAAAATGCGATGGCAACAGTATAGAGTTGGGACTCTGTCGTTCGCAGCTTAAAAAAAAACAAAGTAAAAGTACGTTTGATGATGTCATTCTTCCTTATAGCAGGAAAACGATCTTTCGTTTTAAAAGCTGGTAGTGTAGGCAACGGATCAGGAGACATAAATTGCAATGGGTTGAGTAAATTTTTTGACATCTTTGTAAGCAGAAAATAGAAAAAAGGAATGTGCGCAGTTAAAGCCTAAACAAAAATGCTTACTTGCATGAAGGACTTTGGCCGGCGAATGATGAGATCTTCATCTAGTAGAAATCCGATTACGCCCGCGCCAAATTTTCTACAGTAGTTGTCAACAGCTGTTTTATATTCCGGAAGCAACTTAGTCCACAGGAGAAACTGTTCAAAAATTATCAAGTTCACTTGACCCATCGAGGGCGCCGAAGATAGGAAGGAGGGCAGCAGATAGAAACGGTCGGGTGCCAAACCTACGAAGGGAACTCGTTGCGCCTGAAGAGCAGCACTGATTGTCGATGAATCCTTTGACGTAGAAGAACTTTTCAGTAGGAGTACCTTCGAGTTAGGTGATATGGTAATGTCTGGTTTTGTCGATACCAGACGTCGATAAGGCACACGGTGGGTTTGTAATTTGTGAGGTCGCACGTCGACCGATATTGCCAGCGGCTGAGACCAGGATAGAGTGGAGAATTGTGACTCCAGAGCAGAAAGGAGAAAGAAGCCCAGAGTAAGAAGTCCAAAGGCGACGAGAATAATCCTGATTTTTCGCGCAGGCAGACCGGGAGCATAAATTGGCAACTCCATGTGCACGGTGAGGTCTAAGTGGCGATAGAACTACCTGATATATCAAGTTAAGCTAGCAATACGCCTGTACGGAGCTAAAAGGAAAGGCATTTAAAGTTACCGATAAGATGCCGACGCAAAATAATAACTGCTATAAGGCGTAGTAAATTATTAAGATATTTTTACTAGATATATGGTACATATTGGTTTACTAATAGGGAATGGGACACTAGTGCTCCAACAATAAGGTGTGCCCGAGACCTAAATACTAATAATTCGGCTTACTGACTGAAAATACTCCTCTCCAGGG